TCTAGTTTTCCTTTAATACACTTCTCCCAAAAGTAAATGTATAAGACAAATTCACACTATTTAATATTTATTTACTTACACCTTTTAATTAATTATGAATTTTAATTATTTTACATTGCTAACTAATAAAAAAATTATTCTATGAAAGATAGTGGTCTGGCTAACCATTTTTATACATAGTTTGTAATTCAGATATTTCCTTCTCTTAGGCTGGTTGCCACCCAAGGCTAGAGAGCATACTCTACCCTGCTATTTAACCCATAGCTAGGAGAAAAAGAAATGCATTGATGTCTTCCACAGGGGCATTTGTGTAAAATGAAGTCTACAGCCGACTTGTCTGGAAATTGAACTCACCTAGCGATTCCACTTTCTACGTTGATATTCGTTACACCACCCTCACATCCAGCCCATCCACAGCACATATGTTACGGTAAGGTGATACTCAGGCCATTTTTATTTATGAATATCTGGGTATAAATGATAAAAATGCATTTTCTGCAGGTTTTACAATCATTAATGTAATATGTGGTGGTGTAATGGATAACTGAAAGCCGAGTTTGAATTCCAGTCAGGTTCATTACAACCATTTACAGTCAAATACCCTGGGGAAAGGCATGAATCCATCTCTATTTTCCCCACCTATGAGTTGAATAGCAGGACATACTGGGTCCTATATCCTTGGTTAGCACCCAGTCTATTGTAGAAAGAAATGACAACCTACTACAAGAAAATCTTCTGTCTACTTAGTCATGAATGGTAAGAGATATAATCACCTACGCGTGTATCATGTACAGCATTTAACTGACAATGTAAATCCAGTCAGAGGGGCTGTTTCCCACCAGAAAATACTTTTCTTTTATTCATTTCACACCCAAGCAAGGCAATAAAGCTGCAAGGGGTTCCTGAATGAGAAAGATTCTGAAAAAAAAACATTACTAAGGAAAGAGGGCAATAAGAGAACAGCAATTAAGGAGACAGAAGATGACAATTGGTATTGCATTTAAATTTTTGAAGATCAAAGTTGACTGGGAAGCAAGCAAACTGGAAGAGTGTTCCACAACCGAGAAGTGTGATAAAAGAAACTGTTAGCATAGAACTAGCAATTTCAATATTAAAAGAGAGGGTGGGGTCTAAAGTCATTACTAAGCATCTGAGGTAACTCTAAAAAGGGGGAGTGCTGAGAGAAAGTCCTAACCTTGAAGCCTCTAAAAGGAAATTTAAATAAAGTCGGTAACCTTCCTTTCCTCAATCATCTTTAAGGAATGATTCTTTGTATAAAGCATTTTTTAATGAATAAAACAAAACATTGATAAAAGATAAACAAAAAATCCAGCAAAGCCGAAAACAAGATCTCAAGTTGTTATCAATCATTTTTACAATCTGATGACGTCACTGATAAATTTACCATGATTGGATAACAGGTTTCATGTTTATGTTGATTAAGTGCAAATTTAGTTCTTGTCAAATTAAATGTCAAAATACTAGGCTGCCCAAAAGTTTGTCCCGTGGGCTATCTGCACAGGGCACACATACCCACAAAAGAAACAATACTCCCATTTTCAATTTTAAAATTATTAAATTAGTTTCATTGAATCCTATGTTTGTAAATATAAACAAACCACATGACAGAAAGGAAAAAATAATAAACCAATCAAATCACTCTATTTCAGTGTTGAAAATTCCTATGCCTGGATCTCCTTAAACACAGGCCGACAACATAAATTTTGGTAAATGCACTAGCTTTCACCAGGATTTTATTTTCAGCTAACAGCAACTTCAAAAGAGGTGTCTTCAAATGTCTATCCCATTTTAACCGACAACAGGTAAAAGTGAAGTCTAATGACATTACCTCTCACAGTACCTCCTCTCTTTCACACTTTCTATGCATGTAAAAATGCCCTTTATATACTGACTTTTATTTGGACTCAGACATTTGAAAAGAACATTCATTTTACAAAAACTTTTGTTTATCAACCAACTTTAAAATTGCACCAACTTAATTTCCTTTTATGTATCTCAGTTGTTTGGTTTGAACCATAAATATTAAATTATTGTTATTCTATTTGATATGACCTTACCTCAGTGAAAAACTAGTAATGATTTATGAGTGTTGCTCAACATTTAGAGTTTATATTCTGCACTTTGCTCTCACTTGCATACTTTTTCCATTCTTTCTTTTTTTGTCATGACATATTTTTTGTATCTTATATTTACCCACTCAAGGGTTGGGACCCACAGTTTGAACAACCCTGCACAAATCAATATGACCATGTTATTTATGTTTTTCAAAGTTGATTAGTTTACTTATTCGAAAGTTTGAGATGCGGACAAAGGAAATAGACACAGTGTTGAGACTGTTTCTGTCCTTCATCAAATGAAACACAACCCATCATCTTACTACCACAGAAAGAATGTACTGCTTTTACCCCTGAATTATTCAACAATCTTTCACTGGCCATGAAGATGAATGCACTGCACATCTTTGTAGCTAAGTTTTGGTGCAAGATCTCTTTGTGAGAGCAAACTGACATCAATTACTCTGCAACAAGTTTGCTGTACAAGATACATAAACTAAATGAGAACAGACTATATATATATATATATATATATATATATATATATATATATATATATGTATATATATATATTTAAAAATAAAATATAATATGAGCTTACCTCGGTGAAAAACTAGTGATGATTTATGAGGTGCTGTGCAACATTTCGAGTTGCTTATATTCTGCACTTTGCTCTCACTTATGTATTTTTTCTCTCTTTCTTTTTTGTCGCAACCCATTTTATTTATCTCATGACCCACTGAATGGTCGGGATCCACAGTTTGAAAAACCCTGCCTAAACTGCTGTCCCCAATGCATAGATTATTTACTAAGTGTATGTTGATATGATAACTCTTATGGTATGATAACTTTTAAAATACAATAAAAATTAATTTTTTGAATGGATATCGGTAAAACTAAATGCTTGTTCTATCAGCAAATGGGAGAAAAAGGAAACAAACTTTCTAGCAAGCCCAATACAGGAAATTGTATACCTGCTTTGTCAACCTCACATCAGAATATGAACAATTCAACAGAGACTTGTTCCTCTTGTCTAATAAAGGAACTGTATCAATCTACAAAATCTTACATGCCTGGCAAGGACCTCAATGTGGAAACTTTTGAAAAGTAATCAAGAGTATATCAAGGAGGAAATGAGAGCCCCAATGTATTTAATCTTTTCCTAGACTATCCCCTGCACATATACAAGCACAGATGTAAAGAGATGGGCACTGATCATTTAAGTATTCCATACCACATCCAAACAAATCTATCAACAAAAGACAATCCTGCTTTCCTTCTCAAGGCCAATGTATTGATAATGAGGGGGAGCTATGCTAATGACATAGGTATTCATAGTTGGGATAAGAATTGAACAGAAAATCAACATCCTCCATCAAATGTTCCAAGAAATAGGACTCAAGATAAACCTTTCCAAAATAGAAACTATGATCCAGAATTGGAATGGAAGCAGTGATGGCAACTAATCTGAATCCATCATAAAAATCCAGGATGTGGAATTAGTAAATACTAAACACTTCAAATGCCTCAGCTTATGGATCAGTTATAACAAATTTAATATAGGAGAAAAGGAAATTGTAAATAGAATATACTGTGCTGGAGGTAGTTTCCCCCAATACCACAAATAGTTACAAAACCAAAACATTCACCTGAAAACTCAATTCATGCTCTTACTTAGCCTTGTCTGATTGAAATTTTCATATTGATACCATGCATGGTGCCAAACCCAATTAAAAATATCTAAACATCTAAGGTGTATACAACCACTTTCTAAGATCAAGGGTTTGAGCTAATAAGCCTGAGGGTGTTGGCAAAGACAATGCTTCTTTGAACATTGTAGACTGGTAATACAGAATCAAGAATCACAGACAAATAATTGTACCAAATAATAAAAACCACATCACTTGAAGACTACAAATTTAGTTACAACTAAACACTCCTAATGCCACCATGAAATAAAAACAATCTTTTTACCAATTCAATATTTCCCATCCAATAAGATGAAACTTTGGTAACAATAAGTTCTATGCTAACAGTTTCTTCTCTTGCACTTGCTAGCAGAACTCTCTTCTCGCTTCCCTGTCAGCTTTCATATTTCCCACTGCCTTAATGTAGTTTCATTGTGTCTTTTCTATAAATACTTTCATCTTGGTAATTGTTCTAATGATCTTTCCTCTATGGTACCTAGACTTTACAAATTTAAGCATAGTACTAGATTGGCAGGTAAGTCTCATTTTACAGTTGAAAGGGTTAGCTATAACTAAGTTCTATGCTAACAGTTTCTCTTTTGGCTTCTTGCTTCTCTGTCAACTTTGATCTTCAAAAGTTTAAATTCAATGTGAATCATTATCTTCTGTCTTCTTAATTCTTGTTCTTTTATTTTTCTCTCTCCTTAATACTATACAAGGTGCAATGGGTAAATTGTCACTATTTTATATTTTAATTTTGCACATACATTTTGTTTGTTTTTGGTTTTGTTGACTGCACAGTATGTTGGGCACCATCTGTGAGAAAAAGTGCACCGTAATGCAATTCACTCCACCAGAAATTTGAAAACGGCATGCTGTACTGCTTGGCATTTGCATTGGAAGCTCCAATATAAACATTTCAGAATGTTTGCGTTTCAATCTGAGGACAATGTAGAGAATTCAGAAAGAGTTGGATGAGTCTAATGGTGATTACGAAGGTATGGAAGCTCAGAAAACTCAATCTGATCGTTCTGATAAGAAAAGAACTCCTAAATTTGTTGGTAAGGGCCTCAAACTCAACACCCTACATCAAGTGCTTTAAGGAGGTAATGGTGCCCTGGGTCAAGAGGGTGTCTGATGGAAGACCCTATGTCTGGCAACAGGACTCTGCACCATGCTATGCAAGATGGAGAACCTAGTCATGGCTGTCAGACAATTTCTGCAACCACATCACCACTTACATCTGGTTCCCTAACTTCTCCTGAGATAGATAGATAGATAGATAGATAGATAGATAGATAGATAGATAGATATAAACAGACTGCTATAAGTAAATATATATGAACAGACTAAGATAGGTAGATAGCTATGAAAAGACTGAGATAGATAGATAGATAGATAGATATAAACAGACAGCTATAAATAGATAGATATATATGAACAGACTGAGATAGGTAGATAGATATGAACAGACTAAGATAGGTAGATAGCTATGGACAGAGATAGATAGATAGATAGATAGATAGATAGATAGATAGATAGATAGATAGATAGATAGATAGATAAACAGACTGCTATAAATAGATAGATATGGACAGACTGAGATAGATAGATAGAAATGAACAGACTGGGATAGAGAGATATATAAGAACAGACTGAGTTAGAGAGATAGATATGAACAGACTGAAAGAGTTAGATACATATAAACAGACTGAGATAGATAGATAGATAGATAGATAGATAGATAGATAGATAGAAAAAGACTGATATATATGGATATGAACAGGCTAAGATAGATATGAACAGAGATAGGTAGATAGACATGAACATACTACAATAGAGATATAGGTAGATATATATAAACAGACTGATAGATAAAATCAACTGAGATAGATATAAACAAACTGAAATAGATAGATAGGTAGATAGGTAGATAGCTAGCTAGCTAGATATATAGATAGATAAATATGAACAGACTTAGATGTTGAAGTAATTTTTTCTTATCATGTTGAGAGCTTTAAAAATTAAAATTGTTTCAGTTCTTTTAACTGCTCGGTTGTTTATTAAAAGGTTCATTTTATAATGCAATTCTTTTATTAATGAAGTTGTCCTTCTACCATTTTATCATTCTGCCATTATTTTACCATTCTTTTACTGTTTTTCTAAAAGTATCATTCAATTTAATATTATCATCCAACAATTCTCATTCAATAATTCAATATTCAAGCATTTGCATTTTATTATTATCAATGTTCGTTCTGACATTCCAACATTCTCATTTCAATATTTTGTTATTTAATGTTCATTCTGACATTCTAACATTCTCATTTCAATATTTTGTTATTCCTATGTTCATTCTGACATTCCAACATTCTCATTTCAATATTTTGTTATTCCCATGTTCATTCTGACATTCCAACATTCTCATTTCAATATTTTGTTATTTAATGTTCATTCTGACATTCCAACATTCTCATTTCAATATTTTGTTATTCCCATGTTCATTCTGACTTCTTGTCTTCATCTTCATTCGCTGCCATACAGGAAGACAGCTATCACATAACAATTCAGTACTCTTTTCTTTGTTTCTAATGAAATTTTCTGTCTCTTAATATTCTGCTTAGTTTTTGGAATGCATCTTTGGTCACCCCACTAGTAGCACAAAAAAAGTGAAAAATATTATTATGTCTTGGAGAGGTGCATTTCTACAGAAATGCACCCAAAATTTGCATCTGATAAAGGCTGTAGTGTACAAAGGCTGAAACATGATAATAAAAATGATGAAAACAATTTATGCCTGTATATCAAATAAAAGATTTCAGTTCAAAATTCCTGAATGTTATCTGGATCCAGAAACATCTGATGAAGGCCATAGTGTATAATGGCAGAAACCAAATAATAACAGTGATGAGAACAATCTTTGCCTGTACATTAAATAATGTGTTCTGTTCAAAATTCCTTGAACATTACCTAGCTGAACAAGCATCTGATGAAGACCATAGTGTACAATGGCTGAAACATGATAATAAAAATGATGAGAACAATCTCTGCCCATACATTAAATAAAGGGTTCAGTTCAAAATTCCTGAACATTATCTGGATCAACAAACATCTGATGAAGACCATAGTGTACAATGGCTGAAACATGATAATAAAAATGATGAAAACAATCTGTCTGTACATTAAATAAAGAGTTCAGTTCAAAATTCCTGAATGCTACCTGGATCATCAAGCATCTGATGAAGGCCATAGGGTATTATCAGCTGAAACCTGATAATAGCAATGATGAGAACAATCTTTGTTTGTACTTTAAATAATGTTCTGTTCAAAATTCCTTGAATGTTACCTAGATCAACAAACATAATGAACGCCATAGTGTATAATGGCCAAAATATGATGATAACAATGATGAAAATAAACTATGCCTAGACATTAAATTAAGGGTTCAGTTCAAAATTCTGTGAAGGTTACTGGGACCAAATCAATACTTTATTCCACTAGCTTAGTTCAACACCTAGACTGGATTGTAAGGACTTGGACTGGGGGGAAACAGGGTGAGCAATAACTGAGCAGTGCTAAAAAGAATAAGACAGATGAGAACAATCTATCTTTGGAGATTAAATAAAGTGTTAGGTTCAGAATTCACTGAAGTTTACCTGGATTGAAAAATATCTAAAGAAAGCTAGAGGACGCAATAGCTGAAATGTCGGGATAATGACTAAGATGAAGACAGTAGACTCAATCTAAATAATGTAAATATTGATTTTTTTTAGTTTTATATAAAATTAAACTTACAATTTTGCATGCGAGGCAGGTGAGAGTTGTCTTGGAATTTTCCAGATAAAATCCGATTTAATCCTTCCTGTTTTTCAATGATAGGTTAATACAGATAGGTAGACATATAAAAAGAAACTGTCAATTTGTATGACCAGATTGAATGTGATTTTTCTTAGGATCTTGGGATGGCTACGTCCATGTGCGCTGTCCTGAAGTAACTAACTTGATTTGACACACCTCTATAAGCATGTTTGAAAAAAATAACAGACAGACAGGATGTGGGGAGTTATCATAGAGATAAGAGAAAAAAAGAAAAAAAAAAAAAACAGGCCAATAAATGTACTTGTGTGATAAGCATGATAAGTACGTGACAATGTATATGCTTTTACCTATTTGCCGATTTTCAAAAATGTATTTATTATCTATCAATCTCAGTCTGTTCAAATCTAACTATCTTAACTAGAACAATGTTTACCTCATGACTCAATTATAATAAAAAACAGATTTTGACATTAAATAACTCAAGGATTGGTATGTGATTAACCTAACCTAATGTATCTGTCTATCTATATTGTTTGTATCAATCTATCTTGTTTATATTTATCTAGTTTATATCTATCTATATATATTGTTTATATCTATCTAATTTGTTTCTATATGCCTGTCATATATATATATATATATATATATATATATATATATATATATATATATTTATATATATTTATATATATATATATTTTTATTTATTTATATATATATATATATATATATATTTATTTATATATATATATATTTATATATATTTATTTATCTATATATATATATATATTCATATATATATATATATATATTTATATATATATATATATATATATATATATATATATATATATATTTATATATATATATATATATTTATATTCATATATATATATATATATATATATTTATATTCATATATATATATATATATATTTTTGGTTGATAGATGTGAGTTTGTGACCTGGGTTTTGACGCTTTAGCAATCGTCATATCTTTTCTAATAAGTATAATTTATATAATATATAAATAATTATACATATATATATTTATTTATATTTATATACAAAATATATATATATATATATATATATATATATATATATATATATATATATATATATATATATATATATATATGTACATATATATATTGTTCATATGAGCTATTTGATTATCTCAATCTATTCAAATATATTTATCTTAACTGGACCAATATTTACCTCATGACTCAATTATAAGAAAAATCTGATTTGTCATTAACCTAACATATCTATGTATCTATCTATCTATCTATCTTAGTTTCATATCTATTGCAATCTGTTCATAGCTATCTATCTATCTATTTTCTGGATGGAAAATATTTCAGAATGTGTAGAAAATAAATGAAAGAAATTGTTTTTATCCATGTCAACGGTATGTAATAAATAAACGAGCATTGCCCCCATTCTATAAGTTTAGGTAAATACAGGTTGAGTATCCTTTATCCAAAATTCCTAAATCTGAAAACCTCCAAAATCCGAAGGTTTTTCAGGTGCTGACATGACTTGCCACATGTTGAAAATTTCAGAAAGCACTGGGAAGGTTCCTTGCTGCTGTAAGTGATCTTCTCTTCCATGGGTGGGGGTTCCCCAGCCTAGCTATATAGCCTACGTTGGCGTAAGTCTTTTGTTAACGATCATCACAGATGAAATGAAAATACCGGTTCAAAAGGGAATATTAATCAGCCCCAAAATAGGGGTTTGTCTTATACTCTTATATAAAATGTAAGCCTTAAATTGTGGTTTATGGTACATTGTTAGCATGGGAAATTATTGAGAGTAGGCAACCCCCTGCATAGGTAACTATCAGTACAAATATTTGAATACAGTAGAATCCCTGACAACTGAACTAAGAAGGTCTTCTGGATATGAGGAATTGGTTACAAAGTCTGGATATGAGGGGTTATATTTAGATTAAAATAAAAAAAATGAAATCAGGTTTAACATTTATTTTCAGTGTTTAATAAGCTAATGATGAGTGAAATATAACTGAATTGATTTTAAGGAAAAAGAAATGAATTATGTAATGTTAATGAAAATTCATTAAATTAAGTCTGCCACGTATGCAAAACAAATAATGTAAAGAGGATTTTTTAAATGCTGTTGCATGATGATTCTTTCTCTTCTAATGTCATTCTCAACTTTTTCTGCATTTCATTTTACTTGAAATTTTTAAATGAAAGACACTTTTTAACTCTGTATGCATTATTGTAATCATCATAGCTGAATGCTGGCTTTCTTCTCATAAAGCTGACATTTTCAATAGCTTTTTTTTTCAGTCCAGGTTCCATAACAATCATGTTTTTTATTTCCTTGTTCATTGTGACAGTATGAATGCTGGAGAATAGTTTCTTTGAAAGATTTTATATCATACAATGTTGACTTTATGTTGAACTCAGTCATTAGTTACAATGAACTTTCACCAGTGTCTAGTCTGTTTAAAATTTCTACTTTTTGTGATAACTTCAATGTTGTTCTTTTCCTCTTATTCCCATCATCTTTTGCACCATTGCAAGCCATTAGGGTGAAATAAGCATAAGCAATTATCCAAAGTAAATTTCCCGAAAAACAGAAATTTCAAATCAGTTACATATCACCCAAATAGTTCAAATATACACATCAAAATCATGTCTGGATATGCGGGATTCTGGATATGAATCATTCTGGATATAAGGGATTCTGGATATGAGGATCACATTCGAGAACAGTGAAACAAGTGGATGGTTAGTGCAGAAATGTCATAATAGCCTACCGAAAACATAGCACCCATTTATGAGGTATTATAGATTGTGGTAGTTAATTGACAATCTCTTTCCACCAGTTTTTCATTAGAATCTGAGTGTAAAGAAAGTATATGCTTACTGAATTTATTTAATAAATTCATCTCAATACTTTTTAAAATATGATTGGGTGAGGGAGGTTGTCTTGTAAAACAAATAAAATCATGTCCAGAAATGCAGGATTCTAAATATGAAGGATTCTACTGGATAGGAATAGTGGAACAAAAAACAACTGGATGTATATCTCAATAAAAGCCATTTAAAAGATCACATTCAAGAACAGTGAAACAAGTGGATGGTTAGTGCGGAAATGTCATTCAGGCTATCATAATAGCCTACCAAAAACATAGCATCCATTCATGAGGTATTATAAATTGTGGTAGTT